TATTCCAGGAGGATCACACGGACAGGACACCTTGGGAATGAGTCTGACCCAGAATCATGGGATAACATTCCCAGGAATATTCCAGGAGGATCACATGGACAGGACACCTTGGGAATGAGTCATGCCAAGGAATGTGTTTGACCCAGAATCATGGGATAACATTCCCAGGAATATTCCAAGAGGATCACATCGACAGGACATCCTGGGAGTAATGCCAGGGAATGTGTCTGACCCAGAATCCTGGGATAACATTCCCAGGAATATTCCAGGATGATCCCATGAACAGGACACCTTGGGAATGAGTCTGACCCAGAATCATGGGATAACATTCCCAGGAATATTCCAGGAGGATCACATGGACAGGACACCTTGGGAAGTAATGGCAGGGAATGTGTTTGACCCAGAACCCTGGGATAACATTCCTGGGAATATTCCAAGAGGATCACAGGGACAGGGCACTTTGGGAGTCATGAATGCCAGGGAATGTGTCTGATCCATAATCCTGGGATAACATTCCCTGCAATATTCCAGGATGATCCCATGGACAGAACACCTTGGGAATGAGTCTGACCCAGAATCATGGGATAACATTCCCTGGAATATTCCAGGACGATCCCATGGACAGGACACCTTGGGAATGAGTCTGACCCAGAATCCTGGGATAATGTTCCTGGGAATATTCCAGGAGGATCCATGGGCAGGACACCTTGGGAATGAGTCTGACCCAGAATCATGGGATAACGTTCCCAGAAATATTCCAGGAGGATCAAATGGACAGGACACCTTGGGAATGAGTCTCACCCAGAATCCTGGGATAACGTTCCCAGGAATATTCCAGGATGATCCCATGGACAGGACACCTTGGGAATGAGTCATGAATGCCAGGGAATGTGTTTGACCCCGAACCCTGGGATAACATTCCCAGGAATATTCCAGCTCCCTCTTTTCCCGAGCTGCTTCCCAGCAGCTTTGTCTCATCCAGAGGAGATGAGGGCTCTGCAGGAGCCCTCGGAATGGGATCATTCCGGGAATTCTGTGGGATTCCAGCTGGATCTCCACANTGGAGACAAAGGAGAAAAGGTAGGAATGGGATTTTCCAGCCTGATCCTTTGAAATTCCAGCAGTTCCCCACACATCTGCCACATCCAGGAGGAAATCCAAAAGTTCAAATTTGGATTTAGTGATTTTTGAGGAATTTTCCAGCCTAAATGATGGAATTGTTGCGAAAATTCAGGGAGGGTCCCCGATGTTCATTTTCTGCTGGATAAGAGAACTAAAAGATGGGATGGACAAGGAAATTCCAACCCTGGCACGAGGGTAGGGATGGAAAAAAATGCCACAAAAACCTCATTTCATGGACACTTTGGGCAGTGAAAATTTACAGGGAGCAAGTGGCAGATCCAGGGGGATGGGGCATGGAATTCCAGGAGAAAAGAGAGGGTTGGGAAAAGGAAGAATCCCACGGGGAATTTTGGATGGAACGCTGGGAGAAAAGGAGGGAAGTGGCTGGAAAGGGAATTTTGTCTTGCAGGGACAGCCTGGGGACGTGGGAGAACCTGGAGAGAAGGTGAGTGCTGGGATTGGCTCCAAAGTTTATTTGGGAATCTCCTCCAAGAGCAGCCTGGCTGGGGCTGGATCCAATCCCAGCCCTGGAATATCAATGGATTAAATCCAGGGAATTACAGAGCTGCTGTCCAGCAAGACTAATGATGGCAAACCAAAAATATTGGCATTAAAAAAAATTATTTATTAATTTTATTATTTTATTTATTTTAATAGTTATTTGTTTGATATTCTATTATTATTTATTTTTTATTATTATGTATTATGTATTATGTATTATGTATTATGTATTATGTATTATGTATTATGTATTATGTATTATTTATTATTTTTATTTATTATTTATTATTTATTATCTATTATTTATTATTTATTATTTTATTACTAATTATTAATTATTTCTGATGAAGCTCTTTTTGTCTAATTATTTATTATTAATAAATAATTAGACAAAAATATCTTCATCAGAAATATTTATTATGGAGAAGCTGAAGCTCCCAAGACAGGACAGAGCAGTGCGTGACACCGAAGTAATTAAATTAATTTAAATTAATTATTTCGGTGTTTGAAAAGAATTAATTTATTTTTAAAGCAATTAGTTCTTATTTTATGATATTTTTATAATAATTATTTTATGTAACATTTCTTATTTTATAATTATTTTTTTAAGCAATTATCTTAAAATTAGCCCAAAAATCCAATAATTGAATAGAGATTGGTGTCACTCACCCAGACATGACCTGAGGGGGCCGTTTGATCTCCCCTCTCATCCCATCACTGAATTCCCTGGAATTAGGGAATTTTCCCAGCTTTTTCCCTACATTCCATGCAGAGAATCCCTGGAAATCTCTTGCTCAGGGGTGACAATTCCACGACCTCGGAATCCTCTCTTTATTCCCAGGGCACCAAAGGAGAGCGAGGGGAAGGAGGTCAGAAGGTAAAGGGCAGCCAGGGGGGGCTTTTCCTCCTTTTCCCAAATCCCACATTCCCAGCTGGGATCAGCGTCCAGGGCACCTCCTCAGGTGTGGCTGGGGACCAGGAGGAGATTCCAGGAGGATCC